GGGGAAACTAAAAAAAAACGAAAAAAAACGGAAAAAAAAAAAACGAAAAAAAAGAAAAAAAAAGAAAAGAAAAAGAAACTGCAGAGTTGAAAGAAGGACGTCGGGGAAAGCCACGAAGGAAGTGTGCTCACAGAAGTGCCTCAAGGAATGCATTTGTGCCCAGAGTCATTAATAGTTTCATTTTTCGTTTTTGTTTTTTGTGTTTTTTTATTTTTTTCTTCTGAGTTAGTTTTAGTGCCCTGCTGACGAGCAGGGCGCTTTCCACGGACAGCTGACACTTGCAACCAACGTGCCACTCTCACATGTACTCAAGATTCTGTATCCAGCCGCGTTTACGTCCAAAGCGCTGTTTCTGTTTTTGCTTTTTTTTCCCGTGTTTGCTGAGGGCTGTACGCCCGTTGGGAAGGCACATTCTCACCTGTGCCCAATCTTCTGTAGTCAGCTGCTTTCACGTCCAAAGAGTTGTTGCTTTTCTTCCTTTTTTTTTTTTTTTTTTTTTTTTTCCTGCCGTGTTTTGCTGAGGGCAGCTGTAACGCCCTTTGGCAAACTCTCACACGTGTACCCAATGTTTTCTATACGTCTTTGCTTTTTTTTTTTTTTTTTTTTTTTTTTTTCAGACGGGTACCAGAAAACAGAATACAATGGGACCCAGGCTCGGCAAAACTCGGTGCCCAGTGAAATTCAGGGTCGGCAAAAACAGGCTCGGAGGTACTAGTGGTGGTTTAAACCACCAAGCAGTACTTGGCCCAGCTATCGGCCGCGGAAAAAAATAGAGTAGAAACATTTCTAGTCGGATGAATCTGGGCGCTCCTGTAGTAGCCCGTACGTTTTCTAAAATTGTGGCGGGCACGACTCTAGGAAGTGTACCGGTGATTTAAGCGAACAACAGAAATGAATCCTCTTTTTTCGGAAAGAAAATGGAAATACAAAAGACACCCAAAATGTTTTGCAGTCTTAGGGAGTACTCCACCACCAGCTCTATGTGAAATGTATTTGACCCCATTTACGGCCTGGGCTGTATGCATCTGGCCACAATTCCTCCCACAGTGAGTACGCCCACCCTACCCTTCTGTGATAATGTGTTCTGTAAGCCGGTTTTCGTAAGTAGACACGTGCCACTTGCCATTGGCTACCGTCTTCCCCTGCGCATAATAATGCACCGTGAAAATGAATGTATCCAAGCTAACTTTCCAGTTCGATACGGTCAAAGTGGTAGAGTTCGTAGTTTGGGCATGGTTTGTGCCCAGCTGTGGTGCTCGTCGTCCTCGCATTGCAGATCGTCTTCGTGTGCATCCTTCCTTTTCTCTTTTTCTGTCGTTGTGATTATCAGTTGCCAAAGATTGCACAATTATCGTCCCTGTCCTCTCCCGGTGAGATGGAGCACACCTCCATCTGAGTCCGTCATCACTTTTCCAAGTTTTCCGCCATCTGAGTCCACAATCACTTTTTGCACTGAGTGGAACGTGAAAAAATGAGAAGGAAAAATGAGAAAGAATCTTCTGCTAGAACGCAGAAAGATGTACGGCCATAATTTTGGCTGTTGTTCATTTGATGAGTGGCTCGGAGAGGCCCAAAGAAGACATGAACCTGGCCTTTTCTTTTTCTTTCTTTTTCTTTGTTTTTTCGTTTTTTTTGTACTACAGATAGCCATCCTGTGAAGTCCTGTGATCCCATGGTGGTGGTCGGAGAACCAGCGGGATCGAGGCTTTCTTATGGGACCGCAGGACTTCACAGGATGGCTTTCGGCTTTCTTTTTTTTCTTTCTTTCGGCTTTCTTTTTTTTCTTTCTTTCGGCTTTCTTAATGGGACCGCAGGACTCCAGTCCATTGGTGGGGGGAGCTTTACCTGCTGGAAAACGGATCCACTTACACATCTAGATGTGTATAAGAGACAGGAGAGAGAGAGAGAGAGAGAGAGAGAGAGAGAGAGAGAGAGAGAGAGAGAGAGAGAGGATGGAGGGGTTATGTGGAGGTGAAAAGAAGAAGAATGTGGGATGGGATGGGAAGAAAGGCGGGGAAGCGGAGGGGGAGGAGACAGTGGGGGGCAAGTGGGGAAAGGAGCAAGAGGATGCAGCGATGGCGTCGGAGAAGAAGCGGATCCAAGCCGCCGGAGAGTCGGCGTTTCTGGCCGACCTGCGCGACTTTTTGGCCAAGCGCAATGAAGGGGTATCTGTGAAAGCCTTCCCGCCAATGTGGAGGGGCAAGCCGCTCGACCTGTACGGACTATACCGGTGTATCATCGATCAAGGAGGGGTGGAAGAGGTCGTGAGGTCAGTGTTATTATTATTATTATTTGATTTTTTAAATGATTTTTTAATTATTTTTTTGGTGAGGTGAGTTTTCGGTTCCCTCATTCCTTCCTTCCTTGTTGAGCTTAAAAAGTCGATCTCCTGAGGTGTGGTCCCACGAGCGAAGAGGATCGGATGGAATGCCTGCACCTGGACGTGTTTGTCGAGAGTTGCAGGAAATCGAGATTGAACTGCTTTTCTGCATCTCTGCATAAAACACATCCAGATTCAGGCATTCCATCCGATCCTCTTTGCTAGTGGGACCGCGGCCCTGGGGTGGAGGGGCTTTTGTCACCACAGCTGGAGTAGAGAGAGGCCTCTGCCACAGGAGTGTGTCGCTCAAAAAAAAAAGAAAAAAAAAGAGAGTCGATCTCATTTGTCTACACGTGTAGATGCTAATCTGCATGGCAGGTTGGTCTACATTCATCGTCAGCCTCCACGTGTCTCATCTCTCTGTGCTCTCTTCCGCCAGCGCGGGATCCCAAAAGTCTGAAGCCTAAAAAAAAAAGAAAAAAAAAAAAAAAAAGAAAAAGATGTTACGGCCGTGTGTGCTGAAGGCTGTATCGCCCGTTTGGGAGGGCAAATTCTCACTTGTGCCCAATGTTCTGTATCCAGCTGCTTTCACGTCCAAA